TTTAACTTTTAAGAGTAGTACTTTGAGGGGTTAAAGGCAGTGTGTTTGGATTCAGTACATACATGCAGTTTTGTTTAACTTTTAAGAGTAGTACTTTGAGGGGTTAAAGGCAGTGTGTTTGGATTCAGTACATACATGCAGTTTTGCTTAACACAAGTATTTTATAATACAGGATCATCCAGAATTGCCTTAAAAGGGAGTTTTGTGTTTTCAATTATAATAGTTGCAGGGGGTCATACAGAAGATACTGATAATGGTTGAAATATTGTTAGAGGGGTGTGTGTGTCTAGATGTGACTACCATGTGTATGTATTCTTGACAAGCAGTATAATATACCTGTGATTTTTTTTTTACATAAGGGATCATGCATAATAAATTAATACTCATATATATGATCATCCCTGATGTAGGGGGGATGTATTTAACTGCCCGTGATATGTATTTTACTTATACTGTACCAGAGGGGAAACTGTAAAGCAGCTACATGTGTAATCTTGGTTTTTTCACATATGTAGGTATCCATTTTGAGTAGGTTTAAGGAAAAAAATCTTTAAATAAAATTGAATTCCTGATGGGATAGTATAAATAAGTATTTTAAAAACCAGTATTCTAAAAATAAAGGATAGGGCCATTATTGAGTTTCTCTTTTGCTATTGTTAGTATTCAAAATTAAAGTGTCACTTTTGGTACCTGTTGTCTTAATGCATTTACTGAGAACAGTTAGCATTGAGATGATGAACAAGGGGTTAGCAATAGCAAAGTATAGATTATATTCAGCAGTTACTTGAGAGGACAACAGTATAACAATCTCAGTCAGTCTTTAGCAGTTCTGTAAAATAGTATTATCATTTCCATTTTTCAGATGAGGAAATAAGGGTTTAGCCAGGTTAAGAGATTTACCCTGTTCACACAGCAAGTTGGTGGTTGAGCCAGACCATGAGTCTTGTGACTCTGTTCTTTTCACTATGCAAACAAAAAAATGTTATGCAAATAAAATATAAAGTAAATTTTCTTTAAAAATGCACATATGATCTGATTTCAGTAAGTGTGTGCTTGTTTATTTCGGGTATGTTAAAGGGGGCCTCTGAACTAAAGGACACTGGAACACCAGATGGTAGGCGACCTTACTCAGAATATTTACATACTAGATACAAAGACTGGTGTCCTCCTTCTCTCACTGAATCCTGGCAGCCAGACCTTCCCATCCCAACAATATTCGAAGTCTTCTCTCTGCAATCTAGCCAGTTCAGGTGGAAAGACCTAAATAGATCCCGACATGAAAATCATAGTTAACATGCCCACCACCCCATGCATCCAGAGCTCACAGTTCATCTTACAGTCCTATGCTAATAATAATGATAAAACAACCAAGACATAAAATCTCTGAGGAAAACCTATACATAAGAGGAAGAAGACAGTTTTCGGGAAAAAAGCACTTAGAGGGAACAGACTATCCAAGATGATGTCAAAAGAAAAAATATATTCTGAAAGATGTAGCTATGAATCAAGAGTAGGAAACAAAAAAGGGAGCTTTCAAAAAATAAAAAGCTCTTAGAAAATATGATAGCATAGTTGAATAATTCAATAGAAGGTTTAGAATATAGAGTTGAAGTTTCTGTGATGAGCACTGGGTGTTCCATATAAGTGATGAATTACTAAATTCTACTCCTGAAACCAGTATTACACCAAATGTTAACTAACTAGAATTTAACTAAAAACTTGAAATTAAAAAAAAACTTGAACTTTCTCAGAAAATAAAACAAAAGGAAATGGAAACACTGGGGGCAAGTTAAGATTAATAACCCAGGAGGCCCATTATCCAGTCTCTCCAAAAAGAAACAACAAGGAAGAAATCAGTGGAGTATTTCAAGAAGCTTTTCCAGTACTAAAGAACTTTAGATTGTAGAATGAAAAAACAACAGTAGATTACAAAAACCTATACCAAAGCACATCATTGTGAAGTTTCAGAGACACTGGGGTCAAAGAGAAGATCGGCTGTTTCCAAAGAAAAAGCGCAAGTTCTATACCAAGGAATAAGAATCAGGATCAAAGTTCAACAGAAGCATTGCCTTCAAAATTCAGAAAGAAATTTCCAACCTAACATTCTGGACCCAAATAAACTATTAATCAAACCTAAGGGTAAAAATGAAGATATTTTTAGCTTTACAAGCTCTAAAAAACCTTAACTCCCATATAGCCTTGCTCAGGAAGCTACTAGAGGATGTGCTTCATAAAAATCAGGGCATAAATGAAAACATAAGATGCAGAAAATGGGATTCCACACAGGAGGGAGATGAAGGAAATCCTTGGTTGATGGTGATGGGATATCCAAGGATGACACTAGACCAGGCATAGAGAACATAACGGAAGCATATTAGAAGCTCCTGGAGAGACCATTTCAGAAAGAATAAACTGGTAAAATACCTGATGCATCTCAGTATCTTAAGAGTGAAACTACTAGGGGCGCCTGGGTGGCTCAGTTGTTAAGCGTCTATCTTCGGCTCAGGTCATGATCCCAGGGTCCTGGGATCGAGCCCCACATCGGGCTCCCTGCTCCGCGGGAAGCCTGCTTCTTCCTCTCCCACTCCCCCTGCTTGTGTTCCCTCTCTCCCTGTGTCTCTCTCTGTCAAATAAATAAAATCTTTAAAAAAAAAAAGTGAAACTACTAGCAAAGAGTAAGAAGTTTCTACTGAGACTGAGAAAAGAACAAAGGTAAGATCATTTACTTCAGAAACCCCAGAAAACAGGCCTGAGGGACTTTTGATATGGAGATGGAGAAGTGGGAAAGGTTGATAGAAGAGTTCATTATTGATGTCATTGCCATGTAGACAATGGCAGCTGGATTCTACCAGGTCTTTAAGAAGCTGTGTGATAGCTCCCACAATTGTCTCCTGAAAGACAAGTGGCTGGAGCCTTTATCTACAGATCTCACTCCTCATGGTAGAGTTGCTGCGGGCATTATCTCCAAGTGTACCAAGTTGTACCTGGCACTTTGGCCAGGTAAGCTCCCTCAGGGTCAGAGAAGGCCCTGATGCAGAAAGCTGAAAGAGTATGAGGTAAATCTGAGCCCATTTAGAACCCTCCACTGCCTAAGTGGCTGAAATCAGAGGTGGGTGGAAGGGATTTTTCAAGGCCCCAGGGTTCAATCAGTGATGCTATTGTTTCTTAAAACAAATAAACAGGAAAGCAAAATAGTGTATAGAAAAGAAAAAGTCAACTAGGACCAGGGGTTGATTGGCATATTGTTAACAGTAAATACTGATCTAATCAAAATGGCAGCATAGTTGAAGTGGGAGAGGACATGGTGTTATAGAGGTAAGGTAGAAAACTTACCTAGATCATCCTATTTCACAGTAGGAAATAAATGGATAATACCTACAAATTAAAAATCAAGAAATAGGGGCACCTGGGTGGCTCAGTTAAGCGTCTGCCTTTGGCTCAGGTCACGATCCCAGGGTCCTGGGATCAAGCCCCGCATCGGGCTCCCTCCTCCGTGGGGAGTCTGCTGCTCCCTCTCCCACTCCCCCTGCTTGTGTTCCCTCTCTCGCTGTGTGTCTCTGTCAAATAAAATCTTAAAAAAAATTATAGCTTATTTAGTGACAGAAGTAAAATAATCTGCTGAAAGAAAAGTTTTTGAGGTGAGGGGTGGGGGAAGGGCATGTATTTTGGGTGACAAACTTTAAGGACTATTTGGTTATTTATGTGCATGCCTATATTTGGGGGTTTTTGTTGTTTTTAATAAGATTTTTATTTGTTTATATGTCAGAGAGAGAGAGCAGGGGGAGGGGCAGAGGAAGAAGCAGGCTCCCCGCTGACCCGCTGAGCAAGGCAAGAAGACTAATGTGGGACTCAATCCCAGGACCCCAGGGTCTCATGACCTGAGTGAGCCAAAGGTAGACGCTTAACTGACTAAGCCACCCAGGTGTCTCGGTGTTTAATGTAAAAGAAAATTTTAACTTTAAAAGTATGAACCACTGTTAGATAAACAGTATGAACAAACATATATAACAAGTTCAGCTTAAACTGTACCTTACACATAGTAGGCATTCAATAAATACTGATTATAGTTAATGTATGAATAATGTGGAAGGAGGCATAGTAATTGGGAAGGAAAAACTAGGGTACGTGAACCCACAAGGTCTTGTGAGAGAAAGTATTTTCATCAAATTACTTTTTTTTTGTTAAGTCTCCCCTATCCTTTTTTCCCCCCAAAATTCCACCAAGCACCAAGCACCCTGGAACAATGGCACCTAGAGGCCATGACCATTCCAGTTTCATTGCTTGACTCATAAGCTCTCCCACCCTGAAATTCTGATTTGTCACCAGAAATGTAAACCTTTTACTTCACTCAGGTCACTCAGTTCAAGGTATAACTTTGGCACAACAGCTCTCACTGCTTAAGCCAGCCTACTTTCTGGTTTTCAGAATGTCTACAGCACACAGAGATTATACATGTCAGTGTAACACTCAGTCGTTACTAGCCAGCTGAACCACAGCACTTAAGCACTTAGACACCTTACTCAAGCTGCCTGGGCCTCCATCTCCTTATCCGTTGATGGAAAATAATGGCCACTTCACTTCACGTGGCTATTAGGAGGATTAAGTGAGATCATGTTCAGAAAGTTTCTTGGTCAAGGTAAGAAAAAAAAGTTGGCTCCTTTACTTTTCACCAAGAATCTCACTTAAGGTCATAAAGAGTGCATTATCATTCTTTAATTGTCCTCTCAGTATGTATATCATACATTGGTAAACTTACCATGGGGCTTTTTAAATTCTGCTTTTTTCAAGTTCCTTATATGCTTTTTCATTACAGAAATAACCAGTATCTTGTACTGAAGGTCCAAGAAGCTCCCATACCAAACCTAGCAGAAGGGATCATGTTAGATTTTACTGAGAAATTGCAGACTGTTCCTAAAGGATCTTAGGAGAGAGCAAGAACATTTTTTTAATATCTACTACACTGACATCAGGAACGAAGTCAAAT